TTACTGAACATGAACTTCACCTGGATTACTGAACATGAACTTCACCTTGATTACTGAACATGAACTTCACCTGGATTACTGAACATGAACTTCACCTGGATTACTGAACATGAACTTTGATGTTTCTTCCCTCTGTTTTAGTGAAAATGTTTTTTATATTTATACTACTATATTACTCTTAGAGGAGTGGTGGCGCAGAGGTTAGAGAAGGTGGGTCGCCGGTTCAAGCCCCGGTACCGACAACATCAAAAATGTGGGTGGGGTAGGTGAAGCACCCACACCTGCCCCCACCTTCATTCGTCCCACTCTGGGCCCTTGAGCAAGGCCCTTAACCCCCACCATCTGCTCCTCCAGGTGTCCTAGATGCAGCTCTGCTCCACACAGAGGCCGTGGTAGCTCGGTGTCTGTGGTTGAGTCAGGAAGGGCATCCGGCGTAAAAATAACTGCCAAGTCTTCGTGCGACCTGATCTGTGGAGACCCCTAACGGAGGGAGCAGCCGAAAGAAGAGAAAAACTACTGTATTACTCTGAAGCTGAAACTGAGACCTTCAGCAGAAAATCACGTGATCAGACTGAAACCTTTAATAACCTTTAATAACCTTTAATAACCTTTAATAACCTTTTAACCTTTACAATTTATACTTTTGTTGGATGTAATTGGGACCCTGTACACAATTTTGTTCCACCACATGTACCACATGAGGTGTGAATGACAATAAAGAAACCTTGACCTTTTTAGCTCACTTCCTGTTAAAAGACAATCAGCTGAACTCTGGAGTCCATGAGCTGCAGGTTCCTGATGGGGTCAAGATGTTGCTCAGGAGAGGTTCAGGTCCAGTCTCTGTTGCCCCCTGCTGGAGAAGCTCTGTCTGTGCAGCTTCTATTCTCATGAAGAACAAACCTGCTGCGTCGAAACGTGGGCGGTCCTGTAACTGTTCTGTCAGTTAGCAAAATATCTCATGCAGCTCAGGCGTCCAGGAGACGTTCTACTCAGAGATGAAGCTCATCGTACCAGGAAGCAACGCACGGGACTTGATATGAGGCCATCCAACTATGCATCCAACCAAATATACAACCATCCATCCAACCATCCAACCCCCTGATCTGAAGCTGTCGACTTTCTGTCCATCCATCCAACC